AGGAGTCTTCATGCAGCTGGTGTAATACTAAAAGAACTCTTTTAAACGTGATACGCTTCATAGATTTTTTTTCTCACCTTACAATTTATTATTAATCTTTTTATAATATTATAAAATACTATATAAAAATCATGAAATAACAGAAAATCCATATAGACTTAAAGAGTCACACTTTTGATCCCTTCGCATTTCCCGTAACATACATCCACCGCAATTTTCGCCATTACCGCCACAAAATTGACTTGATCTGTATGATGTTTAATTCAGCTGAACCGATAAAAGATGATAAAAAAACTAAATAAATATAAAAATAAACCTACAACTTCGTTAATTCTAACTGTATTCATTATTGCGGTGCTATCAGTTCCCATTGCATGCACCAGAATATACGTTCTAGCTCCATATTAATTTCATGTGTAATAGTATGTTACATATAACTAATTATATTTTTTTTTCAAAAGATAATAATAGAAGTAATAACTATTATTTTTAAAACTAAAAATATTATTTACACTAAAGGAGAGGGGGTGGGCTTAGCCTCACAATAGCTAGCAATAATGTGGTTAAAGTCCACCTGTAGCGAGAATCGAACCTAAGACATCTCACTTACAAGTGAAGATGAATATCATTAGACTACAGTACTAAGTGGTTATTAATTATTAATTAAGTATGTATACAATTCTATATCACCAATTTTTTCTAGTAGAATGATAAATCTTTAATAGGTTAAATAGTTAGTTTTGTAAAGGAGAGAAAAATTGGTTGAGATCAAACTTGCACCCACTGCGATAAATCGCCATTTGCGAAAAATAAAAAAGAGAGGGTGATAAATTTGAAACTTACAAAACACATGCATATTCAATATGTTTTTCATGTTTTTTAATTGACTTGTTTCAACGTGTGTTTTTTATTTTTTTTATATTTATTTTAAGGATAACACTTGCATTATTACTCCTTTATTAGGGTATGAGTTCATTATTCTATTTGCAAATAACTATCTTCATAATAAAACTTTTATGATCCAAAGCATTTAATCTCTTGTTTTCATTTAAAGATTATCCCTAAAAAAATTCTTCGAATTGGAGATCGTTTAGTCATCCAAATGTATAAAATAAACTAATGGTGTAGGTACCAAATAACATATTCATGATAAATGTTGATTTCTTTGATACATTTAGATGATTAAATAATATCTAATTCGAATGATTTTTTGTATAGATGCTCTTCAAATGAATATTAAGAGGTTGAACGATTTCAATTATGAGTTTTTTTACAATGAAGATAAGTTATTTTCAACTGAGAGAATGATATCATCCTCCATAGAGGAAATGCAAGGGTTATCCTTTTTAAAATGAATTTTATTTCGACTTCATTTCACTCCAAATTTTTTTTCTTTTCATATACGTGTCTTCTAAGGGAAAACATGTTAATTGTTAGGCCATCACTTTCTTAATTTAGACGACAGGACTTCGAACCTCGACATCAAGTAGTTAATAAAAAAAACCGTACTACTGTATATTTCCTAAAACACAAATTCGTACTGGATATAAAAACGCTAATTATCTATATATATATATATATATATATATATATATATATATATAAAGGGAGCATCTTAAAATGGTGAAACATTCAAAATACCATAAATTGCCTTCTAAGATTTTCATAAATTACAATTGAACAAAAAGAAGCTAAAATATTTAACCATATTTTTATTTTGAATGAATTTAATATTTAAAATTATAGAAAAAAAAAACCTCCCACGTTAGTGGATGGTTTCACGTCTTTAATTCATTTTTTTTAATATGTAAATTAATTATTTAAATAAAAAAATATATAAAAAGGCCAATTGCCACACGCGTATGCGTGTGGCAAGAGGCTAGTATTAGTATTTATTTTAGCACCAAATTACGTTATGTTTGGTTGGACAAATTCGTTTGGATGTGCTTTTAAAATGACTAAAAGCGTTTTGGTGAAAATGTTTTTGGAACCAATTCTTAGGAAAAATGCAAGTAAATCCTAGAAAAACACTTAAAGTGCTTCCTGGAAGAAGCACATAACTGGTGCTTCTTGCAGAAAGTACTTAAAGTGCTTTTGGAACCCAAAAACATTTTCTCTAAAAGTGCTTTCAATCATTTTAAAAACACATCGGTCAAATTTAGAAGAATATATGATCATAAATTTTGTTTGGCAACTTTGGTTTAGTTATGGCAAACCTACTACAACACTTCTCACAACTTTTCTACGGTCCAACAAGACTTTAGCGTATGGTAAGTTGGTAACACTTAATTTGCCATACATTTTAAAGATATCAAATCCCAAGTTTATTAAACAATTTAAAACATAAAATTATTGTTGAAAAATATACTCTCTCTTTTTATGAACAAAATATGACACCTAATTTGCCACTTCAAAACCAAATCTGAGTCCATTTGCAACTTCAATTGTATGGTATTTCACACCGGACCATATATTGTTCGTTTTACTCTTATAAATTGGGATCAAACTATTATAAGTTGAAAATTTTGAGTTTAACATTGGAAACAGTTGTAGACAACTATTAAATTCACATCACTGCAACAAAAGTGCTATAAAATTCAGTTTCGGAAACTGGATTTCTGTATCACACATCCTTTTTCTTCTCATTCACGCTCCTATTCATTTGTGTTCCTTGATTTCCTCTTTGATTTACAAATCAATGGTCATGAGTAATCAAGGGGTGTACAGATAGTAAAATGGTGTGTGGAAATCTTTTCCTTATTTTTTTGTCAAACTCGCATAAACATTGTTAAGACATGACAAATTGATCTGAATTGCTTTATTTTTCTTTGGAGAAGAATTTTTTTAGATTGTAAATAAATTGTAGCGCTATATTATTGAGAATGTTCACCATCACACTTGAGATCTCACATTCAATTCCCGCTTATCGTTGTAACAAATATTTCATTCAATTAATTAAAAATATTCATCCATGTCTTCAGTTCGTCACTTCTCAGTATTAACAAAAGTTCATTCCATTAAGAAAACAATGTTACTGTGGAGCTTTGTTGCGAGTGTAAGGGGCGGGGGTTGGAGTGTCACACTTTGATTTTCAAACCAGACAAAATACCTCGGATTCGTGGGTTTTTTTTTTTTTTTTTTTTTTGTGGGTTGATGTTAGATTAGGAAGCTGATGGATTAATTTGAACCCACGCTAAAATGCAAGTATACATAAACACACAACATTACTCAATAACGAAAGCAAAGCCAAACCAGCAAAACCCAAAGGGAAATGCTAGTGGGAACAAGGTTTAACAAACATGTCTTTTGCTTCATATGGCCATGTCCTTCACCATTTTGCAGTTCAGTTCAGTTCAGTCCCCGAGACCTGCTTTGTTCAAGAAAGGTACCTTCTTTATCTTCCCCATTTAATTAATTGATTAATTAACGGAGAAATTAGGTTCTTATCCTTATTTTTTCTATTTCATTGATTAAAACCTTATTCTTTTACAAATTTTGATCACAGTCCTTCGACTTTAATAAATGCCATTAATTATTCAAAAACAAAATATTTACATGTCAAGATAATTAAGTTTTATTTTTAAATATATTCATTTACTGTTAGAAACGTTACATTTAATATATTATATTTATGGCTAAACTTTTTTTATCATATATTTCTATTTCTAGTTTGTATAGTCATTAGATTGGATCTAAGGGTTCTAAATGGCAGAGTATTGTAGCCATAATCAAGACAAACCAACATATATATATAGTTAGGCCAGAACCCTTAAACGAAAAAGTTTTTTTTTTTTATTCAACTCAAGGGTTGTTAAAGAAAATTACGGGGACACTTTGGATGTAGTCCCTAATCACCAATGTTCTGTCACTAAAACCTTTGTGGTTTTTAGTTTTTAATTGAGGTCCATGATATTAATGTAATAACGTATTTCTATGTAGATTATTATATTTTTAAATTAGAAATAAAATTTGTAGTTATTTATATTAATGAGATTTTAAATAAAACTCATAATTATGGGATTAAAAATATTAAAGATGAATTATACTCTCCAATATATTGTGTACACACACACACACACACACGGGTACGTTCATCAAAACTAACCAAAAAATTATTGTACCAAAACATGAGTACATTTTTCAAAAGCATAAAAAAAAAATAGGCTTAATAACATTATTAAATTTCTTCTATTAAACTTGACATGGATACATTCTCGAATCAACGAAGTAGATACCCATATAAGTTTAAAAAATGGATTAGAGAAAAGATTGAATGAAATTTTATATAAAAAATTGGTACATTTCATATTAAAAAAAGGATTTTATATTAAAAAAAGGGTACATTTTTAACAAATCCATATATTTAAGAATGGATACATATAAGATTAAAAAAATTGAAAATTTTTTATAAAAATTTTATGGTACAAACTTATTCTAATTTTATTTTTTATATTTGGGAAATGTTTGAATTGAAAATTAACTAGGAGTTAATTATAAGGGTGTGAGTATTAAAACTCTAAATCAATTACTAATTTTTTATATAAAAATTATGTAACTTACATGTAATTCATTAATATATTAATGCTAGGATTTTGATCAAAATCTAAAATCTAATAAGGTCTTAATCAATGAACATTAAAAACTAAAAACTGGATACTAATTTTTCCAAAATTATATATGGTCGTTAAATTGGATATAAGAGTTCTAAGTGGCAGAGTATTGTAGCCATAGTCAAGCGAAACAAACATATATAATTAGGCCAGAGCCCTTAAACGAATCTATATTCAATAATGATTTGACTGAAACCCCTTCGGTCATGATAGCCAATCTGATCAATGTTTCAAATGTGCGATCTGATCAATGATTCAAATTCACACATGCGACTTAATAGTAATACAAGAACATTTTCTTCTCGTTTTATAGGCAATTTTTTAACAGTGAAAGTGTGTCATCCGTCGGTCACGTACCATTTTTTTCAATGTTCAATAAAAAATACTCGGTTTGCATGAAGTACATGGTAGTTTTATTAACTTATACACTCCAACATCATGAATTATATTACAAAGTAAGAGGTGCTTGCAAAATATATAATGATATTATATATACATGAAACCCTGTCTAGAACCTAGAACGGTTGCACTCCCTTGGATGGCCACGAGGAAATCGCTTCAAATCAGAGCAATAGTTGTAAATCATGAAGTATTTTTGCACCCATCTGAGTCTTCTGCGACTAATTGCATCGAGGCTCTGAGTCTGCCAAGCATTATTTTTGGAGCCTTTTTCTATGTTTCCTGTAGATGAACATGAAGATGATCCAGACCACACACAGGCATTGGCATTGAAGTTTTTGTAGTAGGCTGTGAAAGGAGCTTTAGACCAATCTGTTATCACTAGCCCTCCTCTTGTAGCCCATTGATCTGCATTCCACAAGCTTGAGTAGAGCTTCATGGGCTTGCTCTTTGGGAACGGAACCCCATAAGATTCCCCATTGTTGAATACTCTTATCGGGATGTTATCCACTAACAATCTGCACAAAAACCAAAATGCGCAGCAATTTGCATGTCATTAGAAACTGTAATATATAGAGCTAATTTGTTTCCAAATATCAACACTTGGCTTATTACATTGACTGTTTGATAAGTGCGCAAAATTTTTCTTTTTGTGTTTTGTATAAGTTAAGTTTTGCATGTGTGTCAAATCGTAATTTGCATGAAAAAAGTCAAGCAGTGTTCACATATATCAAATTTGGCCAAATTTAAGATAGGTTACGATGATATCACATTCGTATTTATATTAATTTATGATGATATATATAGTAAGTCAATAATATTATGTAGTTAATAAGAACTGTTATCCACACTTCAAAGTCATCATGCACTTGCATGTGCAATTTCTTTTGCATGAGTACACAATGACACTTTCGGAGTGCAAATAATTCGCTTATGACTTACATTATGCGTTGGGGGTTCCAAAGAAAAGTATAAGTGTGAAAATTTTTTGTTGGGTCGAACCATAGGTAGAATTGTTGCTCTCTACCACCTTTCCCTTGGGAGTACACATTGGTATGCACTATATAAGGCTCTCCAGTCACGTTCCCCAAGAACTCAAAATCAATCTCATCATGGTTTGGCCCTTCGGAAGACAACTGCATGCAAAGGACCCCAAATGTCAAAAACCAAAACACAAACACAAATTTCGTAATTACAATAAATTACAATTCCATTAAAGATTAATGCAGAAGGGTAATCTAGACTAATCATTGTTTTGGTCACTAATAATCTTACATAGTATGCAGTGACGGTGCCGGCGGAGTTTCCTGCAACAAGCTTGAGCTGCATTTCTATCCTGCCAAAAAGATATTGCTTCTTGGATTGGAAGCCAGAGCCAGAGGCCTGGTCAAGTGAAAGCTGCAGAACATTGCCTCCACCGATTATTTTAGCACGATGGTCACCCCAAGTTAGGTCAAAATCTTGTTGGAAATTGCCAGCTGATGCCACAACCATAAATAAACAGAGAATGAGGGAGAGTAGCAACATGTTTGGAAGAGATTGAGAGTTGTGGGATGTTGCCATTTGAGGAATATAATATTTGATGCTCGGATGAATCTGATGCATCTGTTATTTATTTGCATACTCACGTAGAGAGAGAGAGAGAGAGAGAGACTGAGTTGCGTGAGAGTAAGAGGGATGTAGAAGGGGCACGTGTGGCCTTGAAACGTACACCAAGTCACCTGGCAGAACAGAAGGTAATGAGCTGGCTCTAGCTAGATAGCAATTGCCTCAAAGCTATGAAGCACCTTTTTCTTTCTTTTGACGCCTTCTTGGATAAAGGGTAAGAAACGTATTGATCGCCATGGTTTTCGATTCAATAAAATTTTAATTGATGAGCGATAAAGAAAACAAATTATACATGATAATATTATTAAATCAAAATATTATACGACAATAAACTCGTTTTATATAGAAATTTTTATTCACTAAAATGTTTCCCACTAATGTGATATGTTGTCAAGAGGTCTATAATTAAGCAATATTTTTGTTTTTATATTGGAACCGGGTTTGAGGGCTTTGAGCCTGCAGAGTGTAGACCATGAAAGTAAAGGTCAAAGGTATATAAACGCATATAAATTATAAGAGCATATATGCGTTGTTCAGTCACAGTTAAGGCCTCCCTTTTTTAATTAACCTATTATTTTTTCTCTGGACAATAAGGAGATATACCCTTCATGAGAATGCAAATATTTCATATTTTGCAAATAATGTTACCATACAAATTCTATAAACGGAATCCTTTAATTTCTTAATTTTTATGTAAATATCATTTAAACAAAAATATTCAAATCAAAAATCGTTTAGTCATTTATTTGAAATAAATGGACGCTTCATTTGAATATACCAATATTGAATGTTCCTTATTATAAAATTTATATGCTAAAAATACGTTATTCATATGAGACTAATATATCCATTCATTCAAGTATTATCCAGAAAATAACTAATTGCATTGTTTGGCATTTAGCCAGTATCTAATTGCATTGTTTGACTGTGTTTCCTTCGAAGGGGCAGATTACTTCATATTCGAGCTAAGCAACTCAAAAATCGAGTGTACACGTGAGTTGCATAGCTTGCATTGTTTCAATGAAAAGTCTTCTAAAGTACATCGCATGGGTGGAAAAATAAAAAAATAAATGTCATAAAACAAAATATAGTTGTTATTAACATTAATATTTTGAAAATGTCAAGATCCATTTTTCTATATGTATATTTTCACTTATGTTTTATGAAGGAGAAGTGTAGGATGAGTGTCAATTAACAATTTCTCACAAACGTCAAACTAAATTTTTTGGTTAATTCACCACCACAAAGTTTTTCTATTTTATGATTTAATTTGGGTAACTTAATTTAATATGTTTTTCATTTTTGTGATTTAATTTGGTGATCATGAAGAACCAATCCAACAGGTTAAACCGACTTCTTATTATCATAAATTAAAGTCACTAAGACTAAGCACAAAAGTTGATATTAGTTGCCATAATCCAATTAGTACATGTTTTTCATATCTTCTACTCACATTTCTTAGATATTCGTTGACCTAATAGCTACATATGTTTTAATATGTTTTTATCTTCGTTCTTATGTAGTAAACGCGCACCCAGAACACAAGATCGATGAATGAATTTCACATCTTTCCATTTCCATCTTTAATAGCAATGCTTCTACATTTGGTTGTGATGAAGATAATATGCATTAAAAACCTGAGAACCTCATCGGTCAGTGTATTTTATTTTGGATCAATGTGTAAAATTACTTTGATTCTGTACTTAAGAGAAAAAAGAATTTGGAGGAAATTGATTATTCTTAACTTCCAGGTTTGTTTTTTGGTTCATTGTAAGTCTACAAATTAAATATATTGAATTTTGCAAAAGTCTATTTTCAAACTTGTGGAATTGTATATATGGAATTTTTATAAACTGTTTAAAAGTCAGTAAAATTCTATGAAGTCTGCAAAATCTTGTAAATGTCCACATTAATCTCAATGTCAATATGCAACATCCCTAAGTAGATAATTAATTAGAAAACTTCATTCTAATCCTTGGCAAAGATGACTTTTAGATAGGGTTGGGTTCGGTTAGCAAACCATGCCAAATTCCTTGTGCCACCTGCCAGCCACATATACATAATTACTGAAAATCAGTTACCGCTAGCCAACCACCTTCTTGTGGTTGCCAAAAATTGGTTTAGCCAAAATTATTGGCTGGTTCGGTTGGTATATGGCACAACTAGTGGTTTCCACTTCTTCCTCGCTGTCTTCCAATTCCAAGGGCTCAATTTGATTTTTAGATTGGGGTGCTTGTTCGGTTGCATTGTGTGGTTCATTTTGGGTTAATCCATGTTGTGCACTAGCGGTTAATTGGCTAGACTCCATCATCCTAAACATAAGCAATGCATATACATTCAAAATCATATATATGGACATGTATATATAGTATCATTAATCATCATGCTATCAATTGTGTTAACAATATTTTCTATATTTATTATGACATGATCAATCATATACACATACATATATTTTTTAAATCCTTAAACTAAGGAGTCATTTATTTTCTAAACTAAGGAGTTAAGCATGTAAAAAATACCTAAGATATCTAAATAGAAAAAAATAAATAAATAACAAAATATATATATTGGTAGGTATGGCATACCGCCGGCATACAAAATCAATTACCAAAGCCATGCCATTAATTGTCGGTTCGGTAAAATGACAACCGATTATGAAAAAAATGCCAAAACTATACCATATCATTATGAGCCGACCGGTATGGTTCGGTCGGTAAATCGATTTATACTTTTAGACTAAAATCATGAGTAAGATCAAAATATAATTTAAGTCCATTGATACATTAATAACCTCATTTATTAATTACATTCTGATTTTTTAATTATTTCTCTTTTTCTTCCTAATTTTAATGTATTGATTTTATTTCATTATAATTTTCATTTTCATTTCATTTATCGTAATATATTTTGTTGTAAACATTTAGATAAACTAATTTTTGTTATACAATATATTTCAATGTACTTTGTCTTTTTCATTTAGGTACATTAAATTCATTATAATACATTTCGGTGCATACATTTAGGTACACATATTTCGGTACATACATTTCGATACAAACATTTAGGTTCATTAATTCAATATTAGGGTACATTAATTCAATAGTCGGTACATACATTTCGGTACTAACATTTTGGTGCATACATTTCAATACACACATTTAGGTACATTAATTTAATATAATACATTTCCGTGCGTATATGTCAGTACATATCTTTCCGATTCCAAACACTCATATGCAGATCTGACTCTGCTCGTAATTCCTAAGGAACGCATGTTGCAGAGTGGCATCGTCATCTCGGATCTTCAGCTGGTCTTAACCAGACTTCCTCTTACTAAGATTCATAATTCATGTCACTTCAATGTAAAACTGACTCTGCTGTAATTCCTAGGGAACGCATGTCGCAGAGTATCAGTCCTATGTTGAAAGTCGTCCAACAATCCATTTCGTCACCAATGAGGCACAATCCCAACATGAATCCTTGTATTTCAATCAGAAGGTGACAATTCAAACAGAGAAAGGCTTGCACAACTGCGCCAAATGGCATCAAGTCTGAAAGTTGTGACACCCAAATGATGTCATGATCGACACACTACTACAGTAACAGAAGATCCTAAGTATGCTCTAAACAAACCTGGCTCTAATACCAAATTGACATGCCCGACCCTGATATCCTCCAAATATCAAGGTAAGCATGTGTTGGCCGACTCGAAGATGACGAAGCCATATTAGAATACATTTTGGTACATACATTTCGGTACTAACATTTAGATACATTACTTGAGTCTTTCAAGTTTGAAGAATGTTAAATAAAATTAATAAATTAAAAAAAAACTTTTTTTTTGGTCAGAAACTAAATTAAAATTTGTATATTAATAAATTTAAATATTTAGTGGAGACATTAAATAAAATGCACATTAATTATTTTGAATTAAAGACACATCAATGAACTATAATCAATATGTAATCTAACACCAAGTTTATTTTAAATTTCAATCTTCTTGAAGGATTAAAGTTAAAAAACCCCATAATTAATTCTTCACAAGCTGATCAATTCTATACAAGCTAGCTCCATACTATTGCTAAATATAATCAAATTCTTCACAATTTGATTCGAACTCCTAAAACATTCACAACCATGACTAAAAACCCAAGACTTCACTGTTGTTTGCCTGTGGCGATCGAGAAAAGCCAAGCTTATACAAATTGCCATGCATATATGCCATCTGTGGCTAATGTACTTTGGTTTGGTGCATGTCAGACTTGGGTGGACATACAAAAGCCTTTTCCTCAAACCTATAATGGCAATAATCTTGAGTTTAATGTGCTTAACCAGAGAAGGAAATTAGATGTCTCTTAAATGCATCCCTTCTGTATATGCATTACATTTAATGAGTTATCATTTATCTAATTAATCATCTTTCTAGGATCGATCAGGTGTTTTTAACAACAAAACTGAAATAAATACTGAATAAATCGATTCAATAAACTATCCCAATGATATAAAAGATCGAGATGAAATTAAGGGAAAAATATCACTTCACACAACTAGACAATATTATGTTGTCAATAACATCTCAAGATGATATTCATATTACTTACACACATAAGAAAGATGATATGGGGTTTTTGGACTTTAATCTTTGAACAAATTTGAAATTAATTAAAACATGATATTAGATTACATATTGCTTCTAAATGTGTACTTTAATTCAAATTCATGTTTTATTTTTGTAATATTTAATGTGTATCTTATTTAATGTCTTCCCATTAAATATTTTAATTTACTAATATACACATTTTAATTCATTAATTTTGTTTAACTTCCTTCAAATATATCCTTATATATGTACTTAAATGAGAAAACATAAAAAAAAAAATAGTGACCCATAAGAAAAATATGTAAATACACAAGTGTACCAAAATATATTAAAATGAAGGGCAATTCTTGTTTTAATACCCTCAAATATTGTGGTCTTCAAACTTTCAACATCAAGTTTTTTTCATCC